AGCACAATCATTCCAGAATCAGTTCACCAGAAGGTCATAGAGCATCCAGAGAAAATAAGGGACTCATACGAGTAGATTCAAATCGAGCATGACAAGATTGAAGGCATTAGAATGAATTGATCATTGGTTCAATAACCCTTAAACACTTGTTTAGTCCTCTTATCCCTTTCTTTCATAACCATGAACCATTGCCTACATTACGTGCCTAAAAAGTCCTTTCTAATCTTACATGGATTTCTAAACAGAAAAGACTATCTTCAGATCTCATCCCGCCCATTAGGATTAATCTTTTATTTACAAAAGGTTTCTAAAATATTTAATACATGATAGATGAAAAAAATAAAAATAATAACAAATGGGGTTCAAGACGTAAATTCTGAATAACGTTTTGAAACCAAATAAGGATTCAAGTTGATAAACTGAAAAGACGGCTTGAATATAAAGATGGTGCAACTATTGCATGGAAGGCGATATCACAAATCCCTTGATAAGGCATCGCACAACCAGAGTGTAATCATGAGAGCTGGGAGTTGGAGAACACTTCCAGCATATGAGCATAGAAGCTACTCCATCAGATCAGTGAACATCAAAGAAATAAGAATGTTAAACCTTTGAGCAAAGAAAATAACCTGAGACTTTTTTATCCTTTCTTTACTTAACCATACGTCAAAGATAGCATTGATCTTGACACTTGTCAAATGGCTATAATTTATTTAAAGATTAAAAGTGTAATTAATTCTTTGATATCCAATGAACTCTTGTTTTATTATTTACCTCAATTATAAAACCTAGAAAGGGGCAATATTTTCAAACTTTTGATTAAACATTTTTCAACATCCTTTTAATTGATATTTTCAGACTTTTGAAAATAAAAGAAGAAGAAAAATGTTTTTAAACAAGACAATCTCTCTGGAGTGGATCTTGGTAGTTGACATGTGGCTCTCAGACACAAAGCTCATGGTTAGAATCAGTGCTGAAGCAAGAAACATCGAATGATGGGGCATCTTTGGAGATTTAACAACTTGAAGTGAACGATCAGATCTCCTGAAGGCCTTTCCTCCACCAGCAGGAACAAGCATAATGTATATCGCCTCTGAGGGTATTTCTCTCGAAACAAAGTGTCGTCTCGCTATAGGCAAATTTTCCTAAAAACAAATTTTGTCTCACTGGAGACAATTTTTCTCAAAACAAATTTCGTCTCGCTTGAGACATTTTTCCTTTAAGATACAAATTTCGAGTTTGTTTCACTTGAAACAAAGTTGATCTCACTTGAGATTGTTTTTCTCAAAACAAATTTTGTCTCACTTGAGAAAATCTTTCTTAAGACAAACTTTGAAATTGTTTCTCTTGAAACAAAGTTTTGTCTCTCTTGAGAAGTTTCTTTTGAAGAAAAATGTTTGAGTTTGTTTCTCTGGAAATAAAATTTTGTCTCTCTTGAGACAGTTTCTTTTGAAGAAAAATCATTGAGTATGTTTATCTTGAAACAAAAGTTTTGAGTTTGTTTCTCTTGAAACAAAAGTCTTTGAGATTGTTTCCCTTGAAACAAATTTTGTCTCCCGTGAGACAGTTTCTCGCGAAACACAAATCTTTGAGTCTGTTTCCCTTGAAACAAAGTTTTGTCTCCCTTGAGATAATTTCTCTTGAAACACCCATCTGTGAGTCAGTTTCTCTTGAAACAATTATCCCTAAAGATGGCCTGTCGTTCTCATCCCGTAGGAACCGTGTCATCCACCGACCAGACCTCCTCATCACGTAGGAGCTGTGTTACCCATAGATAACCAATCATCCTCATCACGTAGGAACCATGTTATCATCCCTAAATATGGCCAATCATCCTCATCATGTAGGAACTATGTCATCCACCGACCAGACCTCCTCATCACGTAGGAGCCGCGTCACCCTAGATAACCAGCCGTCATCATCGCTTAGGAACTGTGTTATCACCCTCCATAAAGATGGCATATCGTCCTCATCGCGTAGGAACCATGTCATCCCCTTAGATGACCAGAACTCTTCATCACGTATGAGCAGTGTCGTCCCTAACAACAAACATATGAAATTTCCAGGCAGAAAAAATATAACCGGACAAAAACTGGTTTTCTTTTTTGTCTTTGCCCTATTCTTGTTAACACAAGAATGTGCAAAGAGGGACGGCTATAGATAACCGTTTTTGTCCGGGTTTACAAAAATATTATTATTATTATTATTATTATTATTATTAGCATATATTATAACATTTGCAGGCCCAACACTCAAGCCCAGAGCTCATTACAAGTGACCTATCTATCACCTAGAAGCCCAACTGAAGCCCAATGGAGATACCCAACCCGGTTACAACTTAACCCAGATCCAACTGGAATCCAAATGACCCAGCTACCAACAAGTCCACTCAGCAGACCCGAACAGGCCTAGCAGACTACAAACCTGACCTGAACCGACCCAGTAACCTGACCTGACTCACTTAGGGTTTCATTATAACCCTAGGTAGCTTCTGCCACTGTTGTTGTCGTTCTTGTCAGAGTATCTCAGTCGACTCATCTAGGGTTTCATCATAACCCAAATAATAAAAAAGAGAAAGCAAATTTAAATAAGTCAGACCGAAATCCCAAGGGGATTAACTTTCATGATATCAGATACAAGGGAGATAAAAAAAGGGAGAGAAAATACAGAGAATATATTCGAGGGGGTTTGAGAGAAAAAAATCGAAAAAAAGAACATTAGATAGAAAAAGCCTAAAAATAAAGAGAAAAACAGAAAGAAAAGAAGAGAGGAGAGGAGAGAACATACCTCGGTCCGATGAAAGCTGAGGTCGCCGGAGCTAAAGAAACCGAAGGGTTTCTTCTTAGATTTGCAACGATTGGGCCATTTTCAAATCAAACAAGGCCTAAATCCTTGCTCAGGGCCACAAGACACTTCGGGTGATATCTTTTTTTTCCCCTCCGACGCCGGCGTACGATGGCGGTCGTCGATCAATGACGACCGACACGACAGAGTGCCACCAGATTCTGAGAATCCTTGTACTCCGTTTAAAGCTCTCTGAAGCCTTCTCTCTATTCTCTCTCTTTCAAAAAAAAGGGCAGGGAACAAATGAGAAATGGTTTGATTTTGGGCCTTGTTTTTGGCCATATATATGGCGTGTGAAACGGTGACGTTTTAGAGACCTGGAATGCATTTTCGCGCGTGGATTATTCACTAGAGAGGTCCTTTGTACCTTTCTATTTTAGTCATTAATGCAATTTTATTTTCTTTTTATTTTGTTCTCTTATTTCGTATATGTTGTAATTTAGTCATTGTTTACCTTTGAATACTTTTATGTTTTATTTAAGCCTAGGTCATCGTGTTTTAGTTTATTTATATTTAATCAGTCTATTTTCTTGGTTAGTTCATTTTAATCCTTATTTGGTTAATTATTATATTTCTATTAATATTTGACTTTGGCCACAATGTTTGTAATTATTTTATTTTAGTCACTGATTTCAGTTGTTGTGTATTTTTGTTGATGTTCGAATTTGGTCATGATATTTTTAAATCTATCATTTTAGTTATTGTTTTACATTTGGTTTAATTATGGTTTGGTCCTTTATGTTTCTATTTATTTCATTTCAGTCATTTATATTATTTATGGGTTATTTTTATTTATAGTGCCTGTAATGTTTAATATTTTTATTTTGGCTCTGTTTTTGTATTTAATGTCCAACCTTTTAACTTTCTATTTTTTTATTTTAGTCCTTTAACTTTTTATTTTTGCTATTTTAGTCTTTTATGTTTTTATTTTGGTTATTTTAGTCATTTAAATTTCTATTTTTGCTATTTTAGTCCTTTAAGTTTTTTTTATTATTTTAGTCCTTTAACTTTCTATTTTTTCTATTTTAATCCTCTAAATTTTTGTTTTTCTATTTTGGTCCTTTAAATTTTTGTTTTGCTATTTTAGTCCTTTAAGTTCTTGTTTTTGCTATTTTGGTCCCTTAAATCACTGAGTGATTTTTTTTGTATTGTTTGTATTTTAATCTATAATGTTTTCTAATGTGTATTTTAGTCCTTTATATTGAATATTTATTTTTCATGTCATATTGTTATTTGCACTATGTAATAAATATTATTAGCTTTGTTTATTGTAAATATTTTATTTCGCATATTTCCATTTGTATTTATTGAATTTCTTTATTTAAATTTTATCTGAATAATTTCAAGAACACGTATTTATAGATCAAGCGTGGAAAGTATCACTTGATCGAAGTAGTACAATCTAATACGACGTTCAAACCAAATGGAACTTGAAATAAATTTAATTTATTTTACTAATTAAATCTTTTATGATTCAATGTGTTTTTATATAACAATTTAATTTATGCAAAGGTCGATAGTCAATTTATATTCGATTCGTATTTTTTAAATCAATAAGGAGGGAATATTCTTTTACAAATAAGAAATAGTTGAAATAGCTTTTCCGACGGAGGATTGCGAATTTTAAGATTTCTTATCGGGTAAAAGGATGTTCTTTTAAATAATTAATTCTATGTAAGTTAATCGAATTTAAATAAATGGATCATAATTTAACTTTATATTCGATTCATACTTTCCACCATTATGACAACGTGTAAGCGATTCAATACCAATTTTTGGACGCTTTGAGGGTGCTTATCCTTCCCCACACGTAACCGACTCCCGAACCCGTTACATCGAATCTTTGTAATCGCATACTAGTTTTTTGTCTAAATAACAATTTTTCTTAAAATTGTTTTTAAAAGATATTTTTAGGTATTCGACCTACCTAACCCAAAGGTCGATGGCGACTCCTATCCAATTTAATCCAAATTAATTCATAAATCCTAATTTTTCAAATTAAAGTCATAATCGTTTTTTTAATAATAAATAATTATTTTTCCTAAAAAAAATGGTTATGACAGAGTGTATTTCAAATCTCGTTCCTGCCAAGTCCAACAAACAAAACTTTTCAACTAGTTACATAAAGCATGATACAAAGTTATTGGCAACACAAATTACATTCACAATCTTCTCACAGAAGAATGATGTACATATTGAATGCAGTATTCAAAAATCAAACAGAATAAATATAAACTAAACAGAAAACTTCTTCCCACGATCAAGGCCCTTAAAGGTCATATGAGAAAGAAACTTTTGTATGGCATTGCATTATTCTTTTCGATACTACTTTTTGTGTCTCCCAAAGAATGGCTTAGATAACCTACAAACACACTCAACAGAGGAAAGTAATCACACGCAACAGAAGCTTACTCACATTGGAACCACCGACAAAAGGCTTCATGTCTAAGGTCGGACCAAATTCAACTTTGCGTTCATTCTTTTGCCCAAAATTCTATGCATGAAATCTCTTTAGATGGATGGTAAGTACATGAGGTGTGCCTTAACTTTTTGCTTGCAGAGTTGGCACTGAACCTGTCGCTCTCCTTCATCTAAAAGCCCCGCAGCAGTAAAGTTTTTAAGTGCTTTAAGCAAGGAGTCTGCCTTAACTATTTCAAACCTTAAATCTAGGAAGGGGTCAAATGCGTTGGAACCGTAAGAACACTGCAAGCATTTAACCTGAAGATAGAACAGAAAATATTAAATAATGCATAGAAGCAGTAAGAAGTTTGAATATGACTTGGAATATATCAAGTACATGAATTTTCATTGCATAATTGCAAAACATCCAAAATTGTCAAAATCTAAACATACAATTTGATCATATCATTCAGCAAGAAAAAGAATATATCTGACTACGAAGGCGACCACCAAAGATCTTGTGCACCAAACTCTTCTCATAAGAACTAGGGATTTCACTTTATACTCCTGAAGGTAAGCAACACTTGTGCATGGATTCCAGTAGGTTTACCATGTATTCATGTGCATCCTCCTGTCGAGAATTTCAGAAGTTCTGAGATATGCCTAAGCATGAGTTATGAATTACAATTTCTAGAAACTAGAGGGCAAATTGTCTTATGCAGGAGAAATGATATAGCCACTAATATTAACGGTAATTCAAGTTTAATTTTTTAACTTTAACATAACAAATAACTTTCTCAAATGAATTTCAGAAATTTATAGTTAACTGCATTGCCTTAACTAATCCCTGTAGGTATGGGTTAAAAAGGAAATTTATCATGCACCGCAGCCGAATTACAAAATAGTCAATGATATGATATACAAAAAGGATACAGCGCAAGTTCGAGACCAGATCATTTGGTGCCAATATCCTCCCAGTTGATTGTAGAGCGCGGCTAACATGTTTCTGGATTGAACATAAGGCACAAAATCCAGCAATACGCCAGAACATTACCATATGCATAAACACTGATGCGCATAAATTAGAACACTTTTCAATATTTACTGCTAACAAGAACAGAACAATAGATCATAATTTTGCTCACAAGAATTTTGATGCTTGCCACTTTGTAGATAATCCACTAAAGGCTCTGTGTAAGTCAAACATTGCAATGCTGAATTAAGAAAACATGTGTTTCCAAGATTCTCCAAGCCAGCACCCTGTCAACTTTTAAAGCCATGTCAGTGGCTGAATTAGAAGACGAAATCTCCAGGGAAAAAAAGACTCCACGTAAACAAGATATGTATAGAAGCAAGCTCAAAGAAGGAACCCAGTTTAAACATTCAAAACAAAACAAGGAAAAGAATAGAATTTCAATAGAATCATAAAATTAAGAATTACTAAGCGCCACAAAGATAAGATTGAACATAACAGTGCCCGGTATAAAAGCTTACAATTTTACGAAAAGATATCTTCAAACTAAGAACTTGATCCAAACCATTCTCGCACATATCCGTCCCATCAACCTTCCTTCCTGTAACGCTCAATTTATCAGATCCCATCCCGTTTACCCGCTTCGAATCCGGCCCAGGGTTTAGTGTCTCGATTGTAAAATCCCCACCGTCCAAACTTTTAAACGCGTTAAAGGGCTTCCTCGCAGGATGAAACTCAATCTTTTTTCTTAGACAGTTCAAAACTGGAAGAAGAAGAAGATGCCAGCGACCCGTTTCCAAGATCCGAACGCTCCACCATTTCAGCTTCGGTTCTCAATTCCGAGCTACCAATCATCATTGCTTCCGTGTTCGAAAATATGGTTTGCGTTAAAAATTCGTCACCGTCTTCAATCCCAACGAAGAGAAATTTTCAGTGGAAAAAAATGCAAAAAAAAATAACGTTAATAAAGCAGAGAGCTTTTTCGGCTTCTGCGAAAGAGGAGGAGAAAGAGAGAGCCGAAGCTCTATTAAACTCTAAAGCAAATACCCTGACAATTATGATTTAATTTTGGATAAACTATAAGAATAGTCCCTATTGTTTTTTAATTGACCGAATTTCATTATCAATCCAAAAATTCAGTATTCTTGATCTCTTACATTATCGATCTATTTGATTTTGATCCTTCAATTTTAACTCCATTAACCGAAATATTATGTGTCAATTAAAATTTTAAAGAAAAAAACTAAAATATTTTAAAGAAATATCTACATACCTCTTTTTCTTCTTTTTCAAATAAAAACATCACAACATTAATATATTTCAACAAAACAACTTTTTTCTCATAAATCTAATTAGTTCATTCACATATTCCAAATCACCTGAACACATATTTATATATTAAAGAGAAAATCGCCTCAGTGACCAAAAATGCCTTATAATATACGATTTTAACTAACTTTTTCCGGATTTGCCAAAATGACCAACAAAATCGCAATGCGATCGCTAATTCGCAACGCGATCTCCATTATCGCAAATTCGCGTTGCATTTTGCGTTGCGATAGTTGGAAATCGCGTTGCGATGGTCTACAGTGTCGTTGCGATTTTCCCAATTCGCAATGCAAATAAGTAAATCGCAACGCGAATTGGAAAAATCGCAATGCGATACTGACTATCGCAATGCGATACTGACTATCGCAATGCGATACTTACTATCGCAATACGATAATACAAAATCGCAACGAGATACTGACTTTCGCAATTCGATTCTGACTTTCACAACGCGATTTACATAGCGTCATTCGTATTAACGCGTATTTTTTTTTTCAAATTCCAAACACGAATTTTTTCTTAATAAATCGGAAACTGAACCGTCCACAGTAATTGCAACTCATAACCTCAAACCCAAAATCACAACACTCAGTCCCATCTCCATCTCTCACTCTCTACGGCGAAATCCGTCCCCATCTCCGAAGATTTCCGTCCCTATCGCCGGCGAAATCCCTCACAACCATTCACAGTCAAAAATCCCTCACAATCATTCAGAAATGGAAAATCAACCTCCGAGGGTTAGTTTAGTTTTATTTTTATTTTGAAATTTTTGCATTATTTTAGGTTTTTCATATTAAGATTGATGATAAGTTTACTGGTAAGTTCAATAATAGATTAACCATTTCACTTAGATTTCTTATTAAATTCATTCGATTGCTGCCAATAATGCTAAACTGTTTAGCCTGTGAAGTTAGTATTTGTCTTTGTTTTGTCTTTTGGTTGAAGTAATGCAGAAGAAGAATAGTTTCGAGAATGAAAATCGCAATGCCGAAATAACTATCGCAACGAGAGAATCGCAACGCGAAATAAAAATCGCAACGCGAAATAAAAATCGCAACGCGAAACCAAAATCGCATTGCGATTTTCATTTCGCGTTGCGATTTTCATTTCGCGTTGCGATTCTCTCGTTGCGATAGTCATTTCGCATTGCGATTCTCTCGTTGCGATAGTCATTTCCGCGTTGCGATTCTCATTATCTCGTTGCGATTTTCATTTCAACCAAAAGATAAAACAGTGTTGCAAATTTTAGTTTCAAGAATAAACTACTATTTATGTTTATTGTTTTTGGTATATCTTGACAGTGTAGTTTTTGGTATATCTAACTTGGTATGTTTATTGTTTTTGTAGAAATTTTTTTCGGCTTTATTGACATTAAGGAATAAAGTTAGCCTAGCCACTACAATTGCTTTGAAGCTTTCACCTGCACAAAGAAAATTGTTTGAGGAACCTGCTTCGGGCCATGGCTGAGAGTACAGCATCCGGGTGGAGATGCTAATTTGACCCATTTGTGGCTTCAGACCATGACTAGAGATCTACCCGACAGTATACAACGTTGTGAGGAAGAGATATGGTTTCATTTTCCACCGGCGTATACTTGTTTTGGGCGGAAGGAGTTCTGCTTAATCACTGGTCTACGATTCTGACACGATGATGTAGGCCGGTACACTCATCATATCACCCGCCCATCATGGTTATCCAGGGTTTTTCCTGATGAGTCAATAGAGAAGCCGAACTTACACGTCGACGACATGAAGAAATTGTTTAATAAGAAAGATGGTTTTACTCGGATGAATGACGTCGATGTTGTCCGAGTATGCCTTCTACTACTTTTGTATGCCAGCTTTTTAGGCAGAGAGGCCAGACAACCTATTCCTCAGGAGCTAATATTATTGGTAGAGGACCTAAATGCATGGAATCTGTTTCCGTGGGGTTCGTATATAGAAAGCTACCTGGACTAAGTTGTCGTCTGCCTTTGATGACCGCAAAGTTTGCGGGGCGATGGGTCGAAATACACTTTGTCAGGCTTTGTTTGGGCCTTTAAGGTAAGAATTTCTATATAATGTTTTCAAAATTATAATTAATTATTTAACAATTACTAATGTTTGTTATTATATTGTTTGTAGATTTGGATATTCGAGGCATTTCCCGCCATGAAGACATATGCAATAAAAACTTCAAATGATATTCCCAGGGCTATTTCCTGGAAGAGGAAATGTCTGTTGGATTGGGAAGACTTAATACCATATGCGACAATAAATAATGTAAGTTAACCAAAATACTATCATATATAAACAAGTTATTAATAGTAGACGTTTAACTTTGTTTGAGTTTTTATATTTTTAGGAGGCCAATATTCCATTAATTAGACTGACACCCACGGAGGTTGAGCTTGCCACTGATTGGTGGCAAGCTAGTCAGTGTTTTCTTGATGGCACGAATGATGAGCAGCCTCCACTTCCTCCACTTCGAGAGCCATCACCTCACCCAGAGCCATCACCTGATCGACCCGACTATACACCTCTACAACGAGAGCCATCACCTATCCCGTCACATCATCGAGCCTCTTCTCCACCATCACCTCATGATAGGCGACCGACAAAGATGCCACGACTTCTATCTCCCTGTTCTCCACCTCCACGGGATGAGTCAAGGGAGTTACGTGATGAGGTCAATGCCTTGCGTGAGGAGATCGGTACTCTACTCGATAACGATGGTGCATGGCGTGTAGAGGTGTCTACTTTACGTGGTGAGGTTACCGCTCTACGTGAGATGGTAGTATCGTTGCAGAATGAGGTTCATACTCTACGCAATAAGGTAAGTTTAAGATTTTCCATATTTAACTTGATGATAAATTTACTCGTAATTTCACTTAAATTAACCATTTCACTTAGATTGCTTAGTAAATTTATTCGGTTGCTGCCAATACTGCTAAACTGTTTATTAACACTGTGAAGTTAGTATTTGTCTTTTTGTTTTGTCTTTTGGTTGAAGTAAATTTATTCGGTTGCTGCCAATTCTGCTAAACTGTGTATTCTTTAACACTGTGAAGTTAGTATTTGTCTTTGTTTTGTCTTTTGGTTGAAAGTTTGAAATATATTTGTCTTTGTTTTCACTGTTTAAATATCATGTCTGTTTATTTACTGATATTTGTATTTAATTATTTAGCGGACCGATAAGGTGGATGCTTTACGGACTTCACGCATCAGACGGCGTGCACGTGCTATTAAGTCTCCGTATACCCCAATAGTGCGAAGACACCGCAAGAGGTCCACTCCTATCATTCCTCGAGAGTCCCCTATCATTCCTCGAGAGTCCCCTCCCACCGTTCAAGAGGCTACTGTCATCGTTGAAGAGGTCCCTTCCACCATTCAAGAGCCCGATTCACATGGTGTCATATGTAGGATTCTTGAGAAACCCTCTGACGTGCCGGACATGATGGATTCAAGTTGGCTCTCGTATGAGTTCCCGACCAGTACCATACCGGTATCTGAAGTGGAGAGGAAACAACTACCGGACACAATTCTGGATAACACCCTTTGGGCTAAGACCGCAGTTGATTTTTATCTACATGAGCGAAGCCAGGGGTGTTTCACTGACATATGCAAGCTCAATGATGATATATATTTGTTGCTTGATCGGTCTTAGTGGGGCGTATTATTAGGGGTCGAAGACAATGGCTATTTCGATGGAGGGGTAAGTCTTATATTTTTCTTATATTTTAATTTGATTATTTTTTTTGTAAATTTATGTAAGTTACTAATATATGTCTTTTTTTGTAAAACAGCATATCGATGCGTGGGTGTCATGTCTTCTAATAATTAGGAAACTTAAGGAAAATAAAAGAAATACACGATATACAATTATGCCGACGTCTTTTAACACCGTTCACTTGAAGAATCAACGAGATGAATCATTTGCGTTGGGCAATGGACAAGCTAACTTTATCCTGCATGGTGGGAGGTCGATAAGGTTAGTGTTTATTTTAGATTGAGTTTAAAGGTATTCATAAATAAGTACGCAAATGAATGAATTATTACTTATGATTGCAGGTGTTTATCCCTGTTTTGGAACGTAACCATTGGCTTCTCGTCGAGCTTCAGATCCCATCCCTTAAGGCAATAGTATATGACAGCATGATAAATTACATATCATTGGCTGATTTAAGAGATATTATTAAGGGATGGAGCTCTTATTTGGCTAAATTCTTGGGTACGATAAATTATTGGACTCGTTCTGGAAACAAGAAGCCAAAGAAGCTCAATATTACAGTTAGCAGAGACGAGACCGCACCACAACAAAAGAAAGGACCCAGAGGGGATTGTGGTCCTCTCGTATGCTTGGCGTTGGACCGTTTGATCACAGGAAGTATAAAGTATCTACCTCCCACCGATATAGATAGAGCTGCAGTAGGCTTGTGGTTTCGACATTATATGGCTAGATCGATATATACGAGAAGCTGCCTACCTGCATCCGCGTTATAAAAATGTCCATAAATAATTGGTATGTTTATAGGCTTGTGGTTTGAAAATGTTTGGTTAAGTACCTAGAATTCAATAATTTGCTGTTTGTAGGTTTTAGATGTGTAGAAAGTGTTGTTTGAGCAAATGTTTGGTTTATGCAGGTTAATCTCAGAAGTGAGCTGCGTGAAAATGATGTATGGCTGAAAAAGTTGATTCAATAGTAGAAGTGTTATTTTCT